TGGTCTGGTATTGGTCTGGTATTTAATTAGGGGCTTGTTTACAGTTTCAGAAGTTAGTCCATTATTGTGGCAAGAAGCAAATAGGCATGGCACTGGAGAAGTAGCTGAGAGAGAGCTTTACACTCTGATCCACAGGCAGCAGATAGACAGAGAGGTGGGGGGAGGGACAGAGAGAGACTGGACCTGGCATGGGCTTTTGAAACCTCAGAGCTAGCCCTCCAGTGATAACATCTCCTCCAACAAGGCCACACCTCCTAATCCTTTTCAAACACTCCATCAATCGGGGACTAAGCATGCAAATATATGAGCCTATGAGGACCATTTTCATTCAAAAGACCGAAGTAAGTATGGGAGATGTTAGTTCAGAGTAACTGAATTCCAAAATAATCTGAAAAAGACAGCTGTAATTTCTCTTGTTTCAGATAGGTGGGGTTAAAGGGCCGGTGGCCTGCCAGGGGACATGGGAAGTCCCCTGTGCTTTCTATATATCTCTCCCCAACCTCTGTAACAAATTCTCTCAATAGCCCAGGCTAGCCTTCAGCTCACCAATCTCTAGTCTCTCAAGGACCTAGATGAATGTGTGGCTTCTGACCCACTGTCCTGAGGTGAACACACCTAGTAAGCACTGTCTTCCACAGTATGACCTCATTCAGGATTAACGCCAGCCACATTCCTCTCTTGGACAGGCAGGCAAGCATGGTTTCCCCAGGCCACCTGGAGAGTAAGTTGCATAGACTGGAACAAAACTTAGTTTTATGGGTGGATAATATCCAAGGGGGTCAGCCCCATCTCACAACACCTCCTGTACTACAAGGTGACAAATTAAGCAGTTATCATTCCGGGTTGGGCTCTCCCAACACACAGGTGCAGTCCGTGTTCTACAACGGCATTCCTTCTCTAGGAAGAGGAAGTGAAGGGGTGACTGAAGGGAAGTGTTGACCTACTATGGGAGCCATGCCTGACTATACCAGTGTGTATGTCAGGTCCAGAGCATTGTGTATTACTTTGGTCACTATTACTGTGGTAAATGCCATGACCAAAAGCAACCCCATGACTCTAGCATGTGTCAAGTAGACAAAAAACTAACCAGCACAAATTGGTTCTCAGGTTTCCATTGAGGGAACTCAGTAGTTGAGTCCCAAGGTTCCCTTGCCTTTTGGGGGCCCTTGTCCCATCCCTGGTCCCTCAGCTTCTCTCTGGCTCATCTTAAAAGATGCTCTCCAGCTTGGTGTTGGGGCTTATACCCCACTTTCAACAGAGCTACCCTTGCTCAGTGAAGTGGAGCATGGGTTATTGCCTTATGGGGCAGTTTGCAAATAATTCCACTTAAAATAATTCAGTTCCTGGTCTTTCTGTTGTGTCTGGAAATTAATTATAATTTTCACCTTTATTTGCCCTTTTGCCTTGTCTCTTGGTGGCTGGAGTTGGCTGCAGGGCCCTGTGCATGTGTGTTCCACCTCTGAATAGCTCGCCAAGGCCTCTCATAGCTGCTCTTGAGCAAAGCACCGTGTACTACTGCAGAAGTTAAATTCTGCCAAATTCCAAACCCAAGGACCCAGAGCTCATCATTTGCCTCTCTTATTATTATTATTTATTAAATTTATTATTACATATTTTATCATTATTTATAGTGTATATTGCATGAATGTTGCTGCATGTATATATGTATATGTGTGCCTCATGCCTCTGGAGGCCAGAAGAAGATGGCAGAACCTTTGGAACTGGAGTTACAGGCAGCTATGAGCTGCCACGTGGATTCTGGTCACCAAAACCAGCTCCTCTGCAAGAGCATTCAGTGCTCTTAGCCACTGAGCCATCTCTCCAGCCCCTATACCTCTCTCATCTTGCAACCTGACCTTTCATTTATTTTAAAATCTCCTCCATTCCCCCTTTGAGCCAAAGCCTCAAGCATCTACCCACACTTGCTCCTTACATCTTCCCCTCCTCTCCCCTTCCCTCTCCTTCCCTTCCCCATCCTTTCCCTCCTCTCTCTTCTTTAGTACTAGTAGAGATTGAACTCTGGTTCACCCATGCTAGGCTCATGCTTCACCACTAAGCTATACCTCCCACCCTGCTTTTGCAGCAGCCACCTCCTCCTCTTCCTCCTTCTTTATATTTTATTTATTTATTTGTTTTTATTTTGAGACTCTGGGCTCTGTAGCCCAGGCTGACCTTGAACTCCCAGAGATCTGCCTGCCTCTGCCTCCAGAGTGCTGGGATTAAAGGCGAGCAACACCTCACACACAGCCAATTTTACTTTTTGATGTCAGAATTCTGCAGCTCATCTCCTCCTCTACCACTGCTGTATCTTTGCCCTGTTCTTCTTTCTGCTTATTTGGGAATAATGAAACATTTTTAGAAAAACTACAAGAATAGGGGAGCACAGAGAACAGCAGAAACCTTTACAAAAATTTACTTATTAGTTCTTCGGGGAACTCCCTGGGCCTCGAACAGGCTGTGCTCAGCCCCTAAGCCTACTCTGCAGCCCTAGATTGATTTATTCCTAACATGTGACACACATTTCATCACCAGTTAGTTACTTATATTTTTTGAATCACTTGTCAATTAATTTGTCCCTTTACCTTCAAATGCTTTAGTTACATTTTCTAAGCATTGGGATTTTTTTAATGATGTCTTAGTCATTGTTTTATTGTTACCAAGAGACCCGATGACCACAGCAACTCCTGTAAGGAAAGTGTTTAATTGGGGCTTGCTTACAGTTTGAGAGGTTTGTCCGTTATCATCATGGTGGGAGCACAGTGACAGACATACAGGCATGGTGGTGGAGTAATAGTTGATAGATACATCCTGATTTGCAGGCAGGAGATTGGGGGTGGGAGAGAGAGAGAAGGGAGAGAAGAGAGAGAGAGAGAGAGAGACAGAGAGA